CGTGTTGTTCCCCGCTCCGATCAACCAGTCAAAGGGAGACTCCTCTATGACGATTCTGCACCAAATCTTGATAGGCACTCGGACAATGGTAGAACGCCCCATCATAAACTTTCTTTACTAAGAAGTGCATAAGCGAAGAGTGCAACCCTGTCATTCTATGCATAGCGATATACTCAATACCGAAGATAATCACATACTGTGTATACTGTGCTAGATGTATACCTCGCATTCTACTCCACATGGATATTGACCATATTACGTGCAGAAACCGAGGTATGGTAACATTCCATCCCCGCATTTCCCGGAGAGCACGTGGTGGATATACATACCTTCTCCATAATGTAGTTTGATATAAAGGGTCAATCTCTGCAATGTAATGGCCGGATCATCTCGACATGGCGGGAAAAGAACATAAGTACTCCATTGGTAGAGCTCTGAGAAACAACGGGAAAGTCTCACTGTAACTCCGATATAAGCAATCCCTCACTATAAGCAATTTAGAGGGCCAGCTAAATTACTTGCTTATAGGGAGGATTTTCCTATGGTAGTTTATAGTAGTCCACACCTGTTATCGCCTACAGACACTATGTACTGGCTCCTTTGTTCTTTCTCCACGAAACATTATTCTGAATACAAGTGCTCAGCCAATAGGTGCTCAAGGTAATGAACCACAGTATAAGGCAAATCCTGGACGACCTGTGTAAAGAGCCCCGGTATCTTTCACGGAGGCTGTACATACCAGCTGGTCTGGTGTTCGTTACCCATCTATACCGGCCTTTGTGTGGACCATAGCTTCGATGGACGCCGATGTGTCTCGGGACATGACGTGGAATGTGACAGAAATAGTTTGGTGAATTAAAAATGAAGATCTAGACTATATCGGAAGCATATTGTCCTTTCCCCTTCCAATAAGGGTCTTACTCCAAACGCCACCACGGAGTTATCAACGGGGAGCGGCGATCCTCATACTCTAGTTGCCTTTCCGCGTATTCTCTTTTATCCACATCAGGTCAGGTTCTGGTGATTTAAACGACTGGCGGATGAGTTTCATAAAAAGAAGACGTTGAATAATGTTTTGGTCTCCTGATATATGGAACACAATGAGGTAAAATTTTCACGAGTGTATGAGCTAAGTATCCCATAAAAGATGCTGGCTGATGCTTTATATTTGTCACGCCCTTCCCTCTCTCTCTCTCTCTCTCTCCCTCTTTCATACTTCATTTCATTTTCGTATTTACCCAACTTCGTATGTATTTATGACCGTCACTATCATAGCACCTTTTCTTCAATCGCACGTTTGAGAGAATTGGCAATAAATCCGACCAATGGTTTCTTTAGAGTTCTATGATCTGTAGGAGAATTATTTCTTCCTGAGAAAGACAAATCAATATCTTCCTGGAGACTCAAGAAGCTAGTACCGGTCCCTTTTTTAAATAACCTTTACCCCTATTCAGTCCTCATAACAGAGCAAGTGAACGAATTGAACCCTCCACCCTCAAAGCTTCCAAAAGCTGTCAATACCCAGACTTGCCTCGTAGGTGATCTCTACCACCGCGTTATCATCAAGTGCTTACTTACTGTACGGTGCAATTCTACATCAATATCCCTTCCCTTTCTGTTTGTACTCCCTGAACAAAGTTCTAAACCTAATAAATTAGTTACAACGGATATCCCATTCTACTCCATCACCCACTACACATACCACACCTAACAATAGATTCAACGCACTTTGACTATCAAAAAAAAAAAAAAATTACAACCGTCAAACTTCTAGCTAAACTAAGAAGGAAAGCTTATTTTATCTTCCCTTATCTGGCTCGTTATGAAGCCGTTGAGAGCTCTAAGGACGGGCCGAAGCTGATCACGGCGAAAGTCAGGTCTTCATGACCCCGGGATATTGTGCTGACACATTTCTATTAACGACCATCTAGAATAATCAGCTGCCTTGGGGCTACTGTTGTTCTGTCGAGGGTGAATACTGTTTATTCTAGTTAATCCAATCATTCAATTAAATATAATATTGCTTGTTTGGGTATAGTCTGGTAGCCTTGGGTATAGTGTATACGGGTAGTCCGAAAGAGGAAGTGCAGGAGCACGGTACAATATTTATTTTGTGAAGACAGTAGCATACTCTGCATGAGACAAGCTGTAGGGTATATTGTGTATCTTGTATGTGGCATTCTGGATAGGAATTCGGCTGTACTGATTTCACATTGTTCAATAAAATACTTCACCCCCACCTAACATGAGAGCTGGGGAGCAATAATATCGACTTCGCAAGGCTAGTGTTATACAAGAAAGTCAAATTTGCCCAAGAACTAGTATCTGACCAAAAGAAAGCGAGGATCAGCTTATAGGTAACGAGGCAGGCGGCTGCCTCCGATAGTCTAACCTAACGGCTATCGTGAGTGGGGATAGTAAGTCAAACCTCCGACTTAAGAGTTCTTCTTATGTCTCCCGTAATTGTTGATCATCCCTTTTCAGCCAGTTTTTAGACTTGGCAAAATCGGTAGATCTATGGAAGTACATATCAAGAATATATTGTTAATGTCAACTACTGAGTGTGGTCCAGGGTCCAGGTTATGGAAGAGGAAATAACATAACATGATGGGTTCTGACGGGTCACGTAATGATCCGCTCAGTGGATAAGTCAGGAGAGGCAGGAGGGCTGCTGATTGGCTGACGAGGCCTTGTTTATTGGGCCCACGGGCAAGAACGAACGCCAAACTATCCATCACTCCACTGCTCCTTCACTTTACTAGTTCCCTCTTCTCTTCTCTCCTCGATCTCCTCTTCGATTCCTTTAAACCACACCTGATTCTTTTCCAATTCTCTCCCATCCAACCCCCGGGATATCCTGTGGCTCCATCCTGCTCGCGTATCATAATCTCGTTAAGCCATCATGAGAGGCGAGGTACGAACCTCTCTGGATTTTACTGCCGTTTGCTTATTTACTTCCCCCGCATTGTCACGCCCCTCCCCTTAACCACCACTATTGATATTTACCTCATTCGGGCTCATCTTGCCTTAGCATCACCCTTACTTATGGATGTGTATCTCTTGATTCTAACCTCCGTCTGTCATGCTTAGATTTGCCACATCCACATTGGCCAGGCTGGTACACAGCTTGGTAACAGCGCCTGGGAGTTGTACGTTCACCGCTTTTCCGTTGCCAACATATACATACCCCACTCTGAACCAGCCCACGTCTTGGTAGCAACCAGCTTGCAATCAAGCTAATCTCAATCCATACAGATACCTTCTGGAGCATGGCCTCAAGGCTGATGGCCGTATCGACCCTGAGGCGTCCGAGGAAGTCAACTCGGGCGGTTCGTTCGAGACCTTCTTCAGTGAGACCAGCAGCGGCAAATACGTCCCCCGTTCGATCTTCGTTGACCTCGACCCATCGGTGCGCAATCGTCTTCCAGAAAGCAATGGAATGCTTATGATGAATTCGTTACGCTGACTGTCACCAGCCTATTGATGAGATCCGTACCGGTGACTACCGCCAGCTCTTCCACCCTGAACTGTTGATTAGCGGAAAGGAAGATGCGGCCAACAACTGTACGGTCCCCAGATAATACCAGTGGAAAGCAAAGGCTAATCGATGAACGACAGATGCTCGTGGTCACTATACCATCGGAAAGGAGCTTGTGGACAATGTCGTTGACCGCGTTCGCCGGGTGGCCGGTAAGGCTAATGAACCGATCATATTTTAGGCCTATGCTGATCCTGCCAGATAACTGTTCCTCTTTGCAAGGCTTCCTGGTCTTCCACTCCTTCGGCGGTGGCACCGGCTCTGGTTTCGGTGCTCTGTTGCTGGAGCGCCTCTCCACCGACTACGGCAAGAAGGCCAAGCTAGAGTTCGCCGTTTACCCTTCCCCCCGTGTATCGACTGCTGTTGTTGAGCCCTACAACGCTGTACTGTCTACCCACAGCACCATCGAGAACGCCGACTGCACCTTCCTTGTTGATAACGAGGCAGTCTATGACATCTGCCGTCGCAACCTGGATATCCCCCGCCCGAGCTATGAGCATCTGAACCGTCTGATTGCCCAGGTTGTCAGCTCCATCACATCCAGTCTGCGTTTCGATGGTGCCCTCAACGTCGACTTGACTGAATTCCAGACCAACTTGGTGCCCTTCCCTCGTATCCACTACCCGTTGATCTCCTATGCCCCCGTTGTGTCCAGCAACCGCAGCTCTCATGAAAGCTTCAAGGTGCAGGATCTTACCTTCCAGTGTATGGACCCCTTCTTGTTCCCCCAAGTTCTGTTGGTGGCATGGAGTGACTGACAACGACTTCTAGGCTTCGAGCCCAACAACCAGATGGTCGTCTGTGATCCTCGTAACGGAAAGTATATGGCTGTCGCTTTGCTGTACCGCGGTGACGTTGTGCCCCGTGATTGCACTCAGGCCATCGCCTCCGTCAAGGCCAAGGCTTCCTTCAACCTGGTCGAATGGTGTCCTACCGGATTTAAGCTGGGTATTAACTACCAGAAGCCTGTGCGTGTTCCCAACAGCGAACTTGCCCCCGTCGATCGCTCCGTCAGCATGCTCTCCAACACCACTTCCATCTCCGAGGCCTGGAGTCGTCTCGACCACAAGTTTGACCTCATGTACTCTAAGCGTGCCTTCGTCCACTGGTACGTCGGCGAGGGTATGGAGGAAGGAGAGTTCTCCGAGGCCCGTGAGGACCTCGCTGCCCTGGAGAAGGATTACGAGGAGGTTGCCAACGATGGCGAGCTATTGGAGGAGGAAGAGCCTGAATACTGATCGGCTTGCAACTCGGCGCCCGTTCTGCTTGTCGGTTTGATTCTTGGCTTGTCTACTTTGTGCCAAAATTGTATCTCGTCCTTGTGCTTGCGACAACCCCTTCTGTTTTCCTGTTTCCCTAGCGTTCGTTCCATTTCCCACACTTGTCCGGTAGCCAGTCGGTAGAATATGGCGCGTAAAAATACGAATATAAATCTAATTTCCTGCGAGGGATTCCATTCCAGTTCATTATGAATCGGCACCCAGGATAACACCGGGTAATGCATTAGTCTATATTGTACAATCTAATTAAAGTCCAACGGGGCGGGAATCACGCCGTGGCCACTTCGAGCTCGCGGAGATAATGCAGCGACTTCTCGTAGGTCCACATTGTCACGGCACTGGCCGGCGCGGCCTTGAAGAGACTCACCGTCAACCCGCGGTAGAGCCCTCGCATCCCCTGTGTCCGCACGATCATGGCCATGGTGTTGAGCACCCCCTGGTACTCCGGGATATTCCGATGCACATACTTGGAGCGCGTCGGGCCCTGCACCTGCAGCCTCTTACGCACCAGATCCAACGGAAATACCCCCGTCTTGGCCAACACGCTGGCCACCACTCCCGCCGCGGCATCCCCCGACCCAAACGGCAGATCATGCAATCCAGACATCGCCGGCCGCAATGACTCATACGTCGCAAAAAACAAGCCCATATAGGGTACAATCTGCCCGACAGCCGCACTACATCCCCGAAAGAACCCTCTAGGTCCTTCATTCTGCGCTATATCGCGCACCGATGCGTAGAGCGACGCATACACACGTTCCGTGCCCTGCGCTGCAAACCGTGTGCGTAGTAAATCAAGCGGGTACGTCGACGCCGTGGCTAACCCACCTGCTGTGGCACCCGCGACGAAAGATTCAGCCGGCGGAGGGAGTCGGTAAGGGTCTAGTTGCGATAGGGCTTGCGTGGTTGTTCGGTAGGCGGCGAATTGGATGGCGCCGTAGCAGACGTACATTAGTTCCGCGGGGATGTTGCCTTTCCATAATCCCTGTTTCTGGAGTTAGACTGGGGGGGTGTGGTGGAAAGATTTTGCGGGGTTGTATGTAGGTTGTTGATTTGGGTATAAGCGTAAGACGTACTGTTATCCCTTCTTCGCGGAAGATGGAGCGGATCGTGGGAAGCGTGCCTTTATAGATGGGACCTTTTATGTTCTGGTGGGAGGATGGGTCGGAAAGGGAGTGGATTTGGAGCTGCAGACGGATTTTGACGACGTCGAGGGGCGCAACGCAGAATCTTTTATTTATTTTAATTGGTGTTAGTTGTGAGTCGAGTTTGAGGTTTTTGGGTGTTGAGGGATAGGAACGTACCGGGAGACCAGGCCTGCGATCCCGCCTGCGAGAACGACTTGTCGTCGCGTGCCCTGTTCGTTCACATTGCGCTTTTAGTACTAGAGTGTAGTAGGAAAGAACGAAGAGCCAAGACGAATTGATTGACATGGACTTACCTCATCCTTGAGGTGTTCTCCCCCGGCAGACATGCATGTGATTGATGATGGAACACGGGGATCTGGAACGTTTCACACCGGGTAAATGGATGGAAACGATGTTTTTTCGTTTTCGGGTGGAAATTTATTGACCTAGGAAACAATGGGGTTTTATAGGAGTTTAATGTTTTGAATAGTTCATAGGAAATTTTGTGATTAAGTCAGTGATACGTAAAAGAGGTTCTTAGGTAACGAGCAATGCTTTGGATTGGCTCTTTTTTGTTCCTGGTTACTAACAGTTATGGATCGATTGCGATCTATTCTAAGAAATTTGCCCTTCAGAAAAATGAAAAGGGAAAATAAAATGACCGGAGGCCATGTTTCATTACCTTATCGATACGGTAGTAAATGACCAGAACGGTATCGACCGTATTGTACGGCAATGTTTGCCTTTTTACTCCGCACTTTTTATGGTTAAAAAGGAAACATCGCGCTAATCCTGAAACGGCTTGGTGCCTGGACCTCGGCTTTTTCCCAAAACCTTCATATGGGATGATGTTCCCTCCAACATCCCCTCGTTTCTCTTTTTCTTTATATCTGTCTGCTTTTTGTGCGCCTGGGAGTTGCCATTGACCCCATCATGGTTCGTCTGTTGGCAACATTTCTTCGATCCTCTCGGGCTGCTGTGCCCTCAGCTCGCCCTCTCTATTCCCGTGGGTACGCCGTTGCGAGCGGCGCCGCCGAAGATGCTGCTTCCCTCGGACCGAACTCGACAACAGCCCCCGAAGGGGGTCAACATGATCCTATACGAAGTATAGTAGAGACTCCAATGCCACAAACTCGCAATAGCCAGCCCTCTGCCCCCTCAATAGGGCGTCAAGGCATCAGAATCCCCACCGGGAAGGGGGATATCTCGGCCTTGCACTATCTACTGCGCGATGGTTGCAAATGCCCCCAGTGCGTGGACCAACACTCGAAGCAACGCAACTTCCGCATGTCTGACATCCCAACGGACATCAAACCGCGCTCCGCAGACTGGGATGGAAGCGTCCTGAAAGTAAAGTGGGAGAACGACATCCCCGGGTTCGACGAGTCGCACACCTCCACATACACCCTCAATCAGCTACGAAACCCCTCCGCAAACTACTCCTACCACAGCACCGGCCGGAAGAGAAAGCGTCTGCTGTGGCACAACTGGTTCAAGCACCGCTTCGTCTCCTACGAGGAGTACATGCACGACGACAAAGCGTTCTCCAGCGCCATGCGCAATCTTGCTCAGACGGGTCTCCTCTTCGTCAAGGACGTGCCGGACTCCCGCGCCGAGGTCGAGAAGATCGCGACCCGCATGGGCCCCCTCCGGAATACCTTCTATGGCTCGACGTGGGACGTCCGCACCGTCCCCGAGGCCAAGAACGTCGCCTACACGAGCCAGTTCCTCGGCTTCCACATGGATCTGATGTACATGAATGAGCCGCCGGGATTCCAGCTCCTGCATTGTCTCCAGAACTCATGCGATGGCGGCGAGTCGTTGTTCGCGGACTCGTTCGCCGTCGCTAGACAGCTTGGTATTGATGACCCGGAGGCTTTCAAGGCCTTGTGCAATCTCCGACTCTCGTACGAGTATAACCATGAAAACGATATTTATACGAATGATTGGCCCGTGTTCCAGACTTATGTGGATGAGTACACGCAGCAGCAAAGGCTGACGCACGCCAATTACTCTCCGCCCTTCCAGGCCCCGATGCACGGGCAGCGCCGTCCGTTCAACCGCACCGTGACCGAGATGCGGGCCTTGGATAAATTTGCCAAGATGTTGGAGGATGAGAGCTATATCTACGAGCTGAAGCTGAACCCGGGCGAGTGTGTTATCTTCGAAAATCGTCGTGTGCTGCACGCCCGCAAACAGTTCAATACCGCTACTGGCCAGCGCTGGCTCGCTGGTGCCTATGTGGATGAGGACGCCGTGTTGTCCAAGTTCGCGACATCGGCCCGTAAATACCCGCACATGTGGCGTGACAGCCCGAACAAACCATACCGGAAAGAGGCTGAGGGAGAAGGTCAAGTTCAGAGCAACTAAACTTCCAAAGAGGAATTGACTATGTAAAGATAACGAAGAACGTGACGTATTAAGGCATTGACCGCGAGGCTACTCGTTTGATGCAAAAGGCTCGAATACATAAGCATAGGAGTATACAGCGGTTCAACGCCTATCAGAGGAGATTAGATTAGCTCCTGTATATAAGCATAGCGTGTTATATATATATTCATCTGTTTTTTTGAGTCTCTTTTATTATATTGATGAGTCAAAAGAACTAATCATGCAGGAAGATATTGTGCTGGAACACTGAACATAGAAAACGTAATGGCATCGCTGTCCTATAATCTAACAAATCGTGTTTGCAAGCAGGTAGAAAACAAGACATAAAGAAAACTATTTCCCGTATTCTATACGCTCAAGCCGCAGCGGGAGCCTTGTTAACAGAGAAATCACGCAGGAAATCAGGATCATTTTCAAGCTCGTCCTTGACCTGTTCACCAATTAGCACAAAAACCATTGAACGACGAAGAGAGAGAAAAGGGGAAAAAAAAAAAA